CCCCCCCCCCCCCCCCCCCCTTCCCTTCCCTACCAGTTCAGTTCCACCTATCCGGCAGGGTTACACCCAGCAGGAGGCAAGTGCACGTAATATCACTGTATGACCTGTATGACTATGTATGCAGCATTGTGGTGATGGGTAGTGGCAGTGGCCAACAGGCCGAAGGGCTCGCGGGGCCGAGGGGGCAAAGAGGCGACCGGACTTTGCCACAATGACACGACACATGACCGACCTGTGAGCATCTCTCTGTCCCTCCCGATCCGTGGGTTGGGGTTGGGGCTGGTGGTGGCGGGGGGACGGAGCCAGCAAGTAGGCAGTCGTCTTATAGCTGGGATGTACGGGAGGGAGTAGGCAGGGCCTGTGCTCTGTGCCTGTTGCGGCTTCGTGGGGGGCTGCACTTGTTGCCCATACATCGAATTCACCAGAAACATGTATCTTCCCGTACGGTAATGCTGTACCCGCCAATCGTATATTATCTGTCTTGTAGCAGTAGCAGTAGCCGTAGCAGTAGCAGTAGCAGTAGTAATGGTGCTGGGGTGCAGAGGAGTCGTATCGCAGGGAGCTGTACAGATCACGGATTACTGAGTGACGACGGAGCAGTCTGATCTGTACAGATTGTAGTGTTATATACATGATATCTGCCATCGAGCTGCTAGAGAGGGTCTGGGGAAGAGGAGGCAGAACAGACAGAACAGCGTTACGAGCACAGCCGTTCGAGGTGGGACTGGGACTCATTTCCATCTACGGAGATGCAGCCAAAGGACAGCTATCCTACCGAATGCACCTGACCTGACGCCATGATGCGGGGGGGGGGGGGACCAGAGACAACTTGGCCAGCCTCCTCCGTCATGGTGCCTGTCATCTGCAGCGTACCGGTAGGGTTGATACGGTCATGCTACACATACGCCATCATGCTAAGGCATGTACATTGTCTTTTCTTCTCTCTTCTTTCTCTCTCCTCTCTCTCTCTCCTCCTTCTCAAGCCATTCATTTAGCCACTCATCGACCAACTCTTATCTGCAGTGGAATGACCGGGCTCTGAGCCCTCTGAGCCGTGCATCCTCAGCACACATACGCAGCATACGCAACGTGTACGCACCGTTGCCTAGTAGATGTAGTACTGGTAGCACTGATGTTTGACCCAGTCTCAATTTGCCAGCTACATAATATCATACTTCTCGCAATCGGTAACGAGATGGCTCAAAATCGATGGAACCGTGATGACTCTCGATCCAACCAAAAAGGACCCGTGTTTTCCCCCTCACCCCTTCTTTTCCTTTCCATGCCTCCCTCCCAGAATATAGATAGCCGAGGTACTATCGTGTACGATACATTGCCGATTCGATCATGTGCTATCGGCAAGAGACCTGCGTAGAAGTGGCCATCACATTATCAGCCTCGTCTCCATGCCAAACTCCTATTGGCCATCCCCCAACACCCCGCGGTGGGTCCGCCACACGCAAGGCTGATAACTTTTCTTTTTTTTCTTTCCTCTACGAAAAAAAAAATTAAAAAATTGGTCAATGAGCCAGCCGCCCACTACAACTTCAAATATCCGCCATTGACCAGGAAACAGACCAGGCTTCGACTATACGAGATCCGATTATCTCCCCCCTCCCTAAGATACCTTTTACGAACTCGACCTCGACCACGACCTCGACCTCTCTCTCAACAGACAGGGGGGAAAAGAGGTGGTACTCTCTCTCTCTCTCTCCTCTCTCTCTCACGCACACATACACGGCGCCGAAGATGGACGCTCCATCCCAGGTAAAGGTCATCTTCACGACCGACGAGCCCGACCTGGAGCTCCCCGAGTCGAAGCAGCAGCTCCTCGTACCTTCGGACATCAAGCGCTATGGACTCTCGCGCATCCTCAACTCCGAGTCGATGCTGGAGACGAGCTCCCCGGTGCCGCTCGACTTCCTCGTGCCCAACGGGACGTTCCTGCGCACCAGCATCCAGGAGTACCTCTCGTCCGAGGGACTGTCGTCCGAGACGACCCTGGCGCTGCGCTACGTGCGCAGCCTGATCCCCCCGGTCTACGAGGCCAGCTTCGAGCACGATGACTGGGTGGGCGGCGTGGACGTCCTGTCCGGGTCGTCGCCGGCGGGGCTGCTGCCCGGCCATGCTGCCGCCGTCCCCGAGAGGATCGCCAGCGCGTCGTACGACGGGCTGGTCAGGGTCTGGAACGCCTCGGGCGAGACCGTGGCCGTCTCCCCCACCGCCAGGGCCGGGGGCCACACGCAGAGGCTCGACGCCGTCCGCTGGCTGTCGCCCCGGCAGCTCGTCTCGGCCGGCCTGGACCGCAAGATCGTCGTCTGGGACTACGCCGAGGACGAGACCGGCTTCAGGGGGACCCTCAAGCCCACCATGGAGCTGTGGGGCCACGGCAAGGCCGTCAACAGCCTCGCCGTCAACGGGTCCACCGGCCGCGTCCTGTCCGCCTCGTCCGACGGCCGCGTCGGCCTCTGGTCCTCGTCCAAGCGCACCGCCCCTCAGCCGGACCCGGACTCCCTCCCCTCGGCCGTGACCGCCAAGAAGGCCAGGCTGTCCGGAATGTCGTCGTCGTCGTCGTCCGCCACGGCCGCCCAGAGGGGGCCCCTGGCCATCATGAGCCTGCACGACGAGCCCGTCACCGCCGCCGTCTTCCACCCCTCCGACCCCACCGTCGCCTACACGGCCTCCAAGGACAAGTCGGTCAAGACCGTCGACCTGACCACCCAGCGCGAGGTCTCGCGCCTCGTCACCCTCCATCCCATCATGTGCGCCGCCGCCCTGCCCAACGGGCTCGTCGCCGCCGGCTCCTCCGCCCGGCACATCACCCTCCTCGACCCCAGGGAGTCCGCCACCGTCACCGCCGCCATGACCCTCCGCGGCCACGTCAACATGGTCTCGTCGTTATCCGCCTCCCCGGACAACGACTACTCCCTCGTCTCCGGATCCCACGACTCCACCTGCCGCGTCTGGGACCTGCGCAGCGTCCGCCCCGCCGGCGTGCGCGAGGACGAGCCCGGCACCGCCGCACGCGTCAGCGGCCCCGTCTACACCATCGGCAGGGAGTGGTACAAGGGCGCCAAGCTGCCCCCCGCCGGTGATGGCGCCAAGGTCTTCAGCGTCGTGTGGGATAAGTCCTGGGGTATCGTGAGTGCAGGGGAGGACAAGAAGGTCCAGATCAACAGAGGGAGGAATCTACTAAGCTCGTGAGAGGAGAACAGTAGAAGAAGAAGAAGAAAAGAATTCGATTTATTCATGTTTCAATCAGAAAATAGACTTTTTGCTTTTTATTTTATTTTTCTTTATATCCAAAGAGGAAAAGGGGGGGGGGGGGGGGAGAAAAACATTCGAGGATATTTGCCCATGCAGTTCATCACGTGTCATCAGGTATATATATGTGGTATATCTATATATAACAAAAGGGGATGGAATATGCCAGCGGGGGACAAGGAGAGATGCTCGCTACGTATATGCACCTCATCATGATTCGCACGACTCTTTGAGAGCCTGGTACCTGCTAACCTTGAACACGTCGGGCTTGAGCGTAGACAATAGTTCCCGTTTGACCCTGTCCTTGTCATAGGACAGGCCCTCGTCGATGACGGCGCTGAGTATGTACGACACGACCGTGTGAGTCTGGAGGGGCGGATCGCGCAGGATCCTGGCAATCGCCTGCGGGTCCAGCTCCGCGTTGTCATGCCACATGTAGTACGCCCTCAGAGCGGACGGGCCCGTCGACACGGGACCTCGCTTCGAGGAGCGGTATTGCTGCATCCGATGGTGGGCTGCCGTGGCCCGGTCGTCACGGAACTTGATACCGTCAATAGGCGCAGCTGGTGACCGTGCTGGCCGTGTTTTCTGAGAAGGAGAAGAAGAGGCAGAGGTTTCATCTGCAGGGATATTCGTGATGCCTAGGTCTGGGACCGGAAGCGGGAGGTTGAGTTCGGCGTAGAATGGTAGGGGAGGACACGGGTCGAGGCTTCGTCGTTGCTCATCCAGAGCGTGATAGAGCTGGATACCAGCGTAAGCGTCGGCAGCAGAATCTGCACAGACTGATCAGTTTTTCTTTTCTTTTTTCCTTCTCTCTCTCTCTCTTTTCTTGCACATCTTATTCTTCGTCCCTCAAACATATTGACGCCTCTAGAGAAGGTAGGACATACATGATATCTGACGCGCATTGAGGTACCGCGTCCAATCGCTCGACCGCACCGAGTCGCCCTTGTACAGCGGCAGACCCAGGCACTCCTCTACCTGCGTGGCCAGCGTGACGAGCGACTTGTTGATAAGGTCCGGGCGTCTCTGGCGCTGATACTTGACCATCTTGTACATGTGGCTGAGCTCCATGATGCCCCTGGACTCGACGCCGAGATAGTTATTCATCCTGGTGCAGTCGGCCTTTATGGCGACGCCAACCTTCGTCACCGCGGGGTCTCCCATGATCTTCCTGAAGGTCGGGCCGACGAAGTCCCCCTCGCCGACGAAGACGGCGCAGTGGAACAGGCCGATGCGGCCTGCGCTGGCCAGCTGGATGAGCGACACGTTCTGCCGTGGCCCCATGGCCTTGGTGGCCCGGGGACTCCACTCCAGGTCGAAGCCCAGGATGGGCTCCCCGGCAAAGTACTTTTCACACACCGTCTCCATGCTCTGCCTGCTCTTGCAGTAGTGCACCGTCACGCTGCGCACGCTCCCGTCCACCGCGTCGCCGCCGCGGTACATGGTGTGCGACCAGTATGAGCCGGGTGTACCGCGGGGGCTGGCGCGCGCTCGGGCGAAGCTCTCGGGCGATATCTTGTAGGGAAGGGATGTCGGCGGAGGCGTCGGCTGCTGCTGCTGCTGCTTCTGCTGTCTTCCGGCTCCGGGCTGCAGAGGAGTGGCGCCATTCTGTGACGCTGCGTCGGAGACAGGATGAGGAGGAGGGTAGAGTGGCGGCTTGGTAGGTGGTCCAGGTGGCAATGACGGGGCGAACCGTATCCCCATGCTACGTGACCATAGCTGCGCGTCGTTGAAAGCCATGGCTCGACTATACCGGGGACTGCGCAGGCATAACCGGGAAGCCTTAGTACTGACGCTGAACAGATGAAGACAGGGAGAGAGTGAAAGCGTGGAGGAAGGGGGAATTTACACTAGACGCGAGGATAGCAGCGCAGATAACCGTTGGCCGCGGGTCAGTCTTGTTGCCGTCATCAGACTCGTCCTTGCAATATGAGATGCTGCCCTGACTGACCATCCATTATGGTCAAGCTCACATGGCCCAGCTTGTTGTTGCCGTTGTTGTCGTCGTCGGCAAGGAAGAATCGTGATCTGATAGCGATAATATATGTAGTATCAACGCACTACCAGTAGCACTACACGCGCCTGTCTCAGGTACATAGACAACCTGAAGTAGAGGAGCCTGAGCCTTAGTCATCTTCCCACAAACTCACGTGGGGTCGTGCAGTTTGTGGGTTGGTGATGGTGGCATACGTCCTTTCGACACCTGCATACATCCGACTTGCTGCTCTCATCGACAGGGAATCTGTTCCCTTCTCTTCTTAATCATTCCCCTGTTCTCGGGACACGGTCTGAAATCCAACCGACACCGCCGTCATCATGGCTTCTCAGCTGCTGCCCCTCGGTGAGCAATTCCTCCCCATCCCCGCCGCATCCCAGTCCTTTCATGTGTGCTGACTTCGCATACTAGAGCTCATCGACAAGTGTGTCGGTTCGAGGATATGGGTTATCATGAAGGGAGAAAAAGGTTGGCATCACCCAGACAATATTGTGGACCTCTGCCGAACAGGATACTGACTTTTCTTCTTTTCCCCCCCCTCAAGAGTTCAGCGGAACCCTCTTGGGATTCGATGACTACGTCAGTATGTTTGACCTCATTCATCCTGATGCCTTTTTTTTCTTTCTTCTTTTTCGTATGATCTTGCTGACATAAAATCTCAGACATGGTATTGGAAGACGTGACGGAATTGTACGAAGAGACCCTTGTTTCCCCCCTCCCCTCTTATCTTACCGCTCGCCACTGACACAAGAATAGCGACTACTCAGGAAACCACACCAAGCTGCCCAAGATTCTCCTCAACGGAAACAACATCTGCATGGTAAACTTTTCTCCTTCGTCTTTCGTACTCTCCGCGGCACTCTGATCAATGTACTGATTCCTCTCTACAGTTGATTCCGGGAGGCGAGGGCCCGGAAGGCGCATGAACATCAGGTTGAAGGCGGTAAGATCTGCCATGGCTAACAACAGATGGAAGGCCCGAGCCACCACGGATTCCCTCGGTCTAATTCAATATCCACAGACGTGGCTCTCCTCCATGCGGGCTGAACCTTCATGTCTGGCCGACAGAGCGCTGAGCCATGAGGGGGGACAGTGGCCGTGCTGTCGGGCATTGTGACGAGAACACGGGACAAATCACGCCGATACCTCTTTAGGCCCAAATTCATTCTTGTTTTCTCTCTCACGATGAAACTCCCATCAATATTTGCAGGCCTTTTAAACGCCCGATGACCCGAGTAAAACGAATGGTGTACGGTGTATGCGGTACGGTGTGTGGTGTGTGGTGTGTGGTGTGTGGGGTGTGGTGTGTATCTTGTCTTAAGCTCCATTGCTCGGCATATTTCCCTGCTCTCCCGTGTTGGTGATGCGCCGCAGCTCCCATTCTCGTGTGAATTCCTGGTGTAGCATTTCTAGCTGGTTGATGAGCTTCTCGCACACGGACATGAATACGTCCCGCGGCGAGATGGTGCCGTCGGTCTGAACGCGGATGAACATCTCGGGTACGTTGGGGTGAGCAACTATCCAAGATTTAGCACGTGAAGCGGGACTGCCCATTGTCCATCCTGAGCAGGACGAGTGTGGAACATACTTTTGTAACCCGCCATCCAGACGTTGGGGTGGGCCTTGATGTAGTCGGAGAGCAGGTTTCCCAGAGTGTGATCCTCTTTCTTCAGGATGAAGTCTGAAGTGTTGGACATGCCTACGGATTGTCAGCTTCTGGGCACGCCAGCGCAGGGCAAAAGATTGCAACCGTCTGGGGGTGGATCCTACCAGAGTATACCTTCTCTTCAATCTTCTTCTCGCCTTCTCCGAGGAGGAATAGCTCGAACCTACTCATCAGGTCAGCGAATGATGGTAGGGCATGCCGCCAACGAGAGTGCACCGTCTCGGCATGGTTCTCGTGCTCTGAGTTGCCACACGCCATGTTGATAACCAATGCAAATACTGCAGGGTCTCAGGAGTGAATGTGTCGTGGGAATAGAATGTGAGATGAAGAAAGAGTCGCCGCAGAGATTATCGAGATGTGCAAGACGAAGAACGTGAGACGGAATTCCACGGCGGCCATGTAGCTGACGATTGCCTGGCAGGTGGCAGTAAATCATCACCATGGCCGCAGCCGCAAAAGAAAGCAGAAGGCCTCCTGCTGGATGACTATGGGTGTTTCCGGTGACAGCGAGGACCCTCATGTTCGCCGTGACCCCATGAAGCAGTGACCTCTCTTTCTTCCTCTCTTTCTCGTGCTGCACATTCTCGGCTCTTGCTGGCGCCCTGGTCAGGGTGGGACGGTGCCAGATCTCTGCGCATTGTAACAGCATCTGCTACGAAGCAGGAGACATGCCGTAGTAGAGTATGACTGAGAAGCGCGAGGAATTCGAGACTGGGAGTTTTTAAAGAGATCATCTTACCGATCGGGCGCGTTCATATTGAAAGTAGTGGTGATGAAGCAATGGCAAAGAGCGGACAAGGAGTAGTTGTGAGGAAGACAAAAAAAAAAAAAGATCAGACCCGAGAGAGAGAGAGAGAGAGAGAGAGAGGGTGAGAGAGAGCGGGGTCTGTCGGGAGATTTCTGCAGTCGTATTAAGCCTCGAAGTACCCAAGAATGGAGAAGGCAAGGGAACGGATGAAGACGATGCTAGCGATGCGGGTATCCGAGAGGTTGATGAAGGAGCCACTGGTGGTTGATATCGACGATGGGAGGGAGAGTGCTGTACACATCACAGCGTCCCGCCTGTCACGGCGGTGGGGCAATTCTTTCAGATGGCGTCGAGAGCGAGGCTAAGGCCCGGAAAAACTCACTGGTACGGGGTTGCACCTTTACCAGTAGATAGATACCTACGATACCCCCGTTGACATGTAGAATGGAAAGGTCAAGAGTGGCGAGACACGGGGATGCTTTGCTATTTTTCTTCCAGGTATAGATTCCACACTTGCGTACCTAGATGTGACCTCTCGAAAGTATGGATATAACTCTCCTTCTGCTGTCTTATAGAATTGATGTTGATTGCTTCTAGCTATTTTCCATCCTCGCCATTGCTGTAATGCGCATTTCCCTCAAGAGCCCGACAGCACACTGCACGCTTTCAGTGGCGTAGATCACTAGGGTGGGTGGAGCTCAGGGGCCGCAGCCACTATAACCTCATCTACAATAAATAATGTAACTCTGCTCTGCCAGGCAGGCATTGATCATCACCACCCGACGGTAGTAATACTACTTGTATACTACGCACATGCCATCTCAACTTGATCCTACTTGCTGCTGCTCGTCTCTAAACATGCGTCGATGCCACGACTCCCTCCTTCACTAGTCCGTCGTGCGAGGCACGTTGCGCCCGAGCTAGCCACCCTTCTACCAGCATGCAGGACCCTCCTGTCAGCTCGGAATGAGCTGCGATGGCTCCGCGAGCACGTTGAAGCAACCACCATCACCACCACCGCCACCACCGCCACCACGGCGGCAGCAGCAGCGGCAGCAGCAGCAGTCGTCGAGGGTCGTCGCCGAAATCTGCTGGCGCGGCTCTGCCATCAACGTGGACGCGGCGTTCCCCTCCAGTACATACTTGGGACCCAGCCATTCGGCCATCTGGACATCAGGTGCAGGCCCGGCGTCCTCATCCCACGGCCAGAGACGGAGGCGTACACCTGCCATCTCATAGATCTGCTCAGATCCGGCGAGTTGCTGAGCCGGCCTCCCGCTGAGAGGCCGAGCAGTCTAGGCATCATCGACTTCTGCACCGGCACGGGATGCATACCGCTCCTGGCATTTGAGTCTCTGAAGTCGGAGGTCGAGTCACTCAATGTCCGTGGCGTCGACATCTCCCCCATCGCGCTCGACCTTGCCGATGCCAATGCCACGTACGCGTCCTCCCGACACCCCCGAGCTGAGAAGCAGCTGCTGCGGTTCTCCAGGACCGATGTGTTTTCCGATGCCGACATACGTGCCCTCGCCAGGGAACGCTGGGACGTCATGATCTCAAACCCCCCCTACGTGTCCAGGGACGTGTGGAATCACGGTCGTGGCCAGCTGGGGCCCTCTGTCCGCAAGTTTGAGCCACTGCTGGCTCTGGTCCCAGGTCAGCAGCTGCCTCTTCCGCCGCCAGGTCTGCGTCCCGAGGATATCTTCTACTCGAGGCTCCTCGATGTAGCATCCATCTTGAAACCCGAGGTCATCCTGCTGGAAGTTGGGGATCAGGATCAGGCGCGTCGAGTCGCTGGACATTGTCTCGAGCACGCCTTCTGCGCAGACGCGACCGTTGAGCTGTGGCGCGACGGTCCAGACTTGACGCCCTCCGAGGACGAGCAGGTTTACTGGAATATCCGGACTGCAAGACACGGAGAGCGGGTCGTTCCGGTGAAAGGAAGCGGGAACGTTCGTTCCGTCCTGATCCGAAGAGAAGTCTGATGATGACCCTTGGAGCCGGGGGGGGGGGGGGGGGGGGGGGGGGGGGGGGGGGGGGGGGGGGGGGGGGGGTGGATGGCATGTTACCGAATTGCAAGGCAAATCAATTTGATATCATTATACCTCGATACCGGAATGCATCACACCAGAGTCGAGAGAAATATCATACAGTAATAGACAACACATGCCACAGCGTAAAAGAACGGTGAATATAGGTGAACCTCTTCTTCTTCTTCCTCCCCAATTGTTGTTGGGTTTCCGGCGTTAAACCACGCCAAAAGTCCGAGTACCAGAGTCCCGGCTTGACCCAAGTAGTGAGACACGTGATCGCAGGGATCCGATTTTCCCGGTAGGTGGCGCCTTGCCGCAGCTCGTCGACGATGACCAACCACCAGCTTTTGCTCTATTGCAGCGTGTCACATCAGCAGTGTTGTGTCTCTATATCCCACCCACCAAGAGGCCACTTTCGCGAGCCTCTTTCCAGGACGAATCATTTCCAGCCAGATGACTGGGACGTTTCTTTCTTGCCTGAACACGCACATGGTTTGAGGAGGGACCTCTCGACGACTCCTCACACGAAACTACACCTTTCCCCCAGCCACAACCGGGCGAGAGTCCACACTACGGTCTCGCGAACAGCTCGCCCTGCCCACCCCCATCATGTCAAGGTATCTCAGGCAGTCGAGCCAGCTCGCGCGGCTGGTGCGGACCTCGCAGCCGCACAGGCTGCAGAGGATCCTGCAGCCATCGACGCTGCCGCGGTCCACGATCGCCACCGTCTCCCGCTCGGCTAAGCTGTCGTCCACGTCCCCGATCCGGAGCAGCACATCGTGGCGGCCGTACTCGACGAATCACCGGCCCGACCCCGACGACAACAAGAACGAGGCTTCCGAGAAGGATGTGAAGAAGTCGGAAGGGGAGGAGGGAGAGAAGAGGAAGAACGACTTCTACATGCCCCTTCCCGAGAACTGGGTATACCTTTCCAAGTCGGAGCTGGAGCAGCTCGCGCGCTTTACCGAGGTGCTCCCGCCCGCCCAGCAGGAGAGCATGCGCAACGTCCTGAAGGACATCGAGTTCACCGGCGTGCCGATGGACACGCGGGACATGCTGCAGAAGATGCGCGAGGGTTCTGGCCGCCTGTCCATCATGGACAAGGGCCGGCTGCTGCGCTCCGTCGTCCACACGGCCTCTCGCGTGGCCGAGTACCAGATCAAGAGGGACGAGCTAGGCGGCAAGCCCTTCAACGGCTTCCAGAAGAACGACACGCCCGAAGACCACATGCCCGACCAGTCCAGGGAGACCGGCGAGCGCCGCAGCGCCGAGGAGCGGCAGCGGCAGCAGCAGGAGGGCAGGTCGTCGTCGCAGCAGGAGGGCAGATCCGAGGCCGACCGCCAGAAGCAGCAGCAGAACCCTCAGCCACCCAGCGGCGGCTGGACGGAGGCGCTCCAGTCCGTCATCGTGATCCTCTTCGTGCTCTGGATGTGGGAGACGTTCATGGGCGGTTCGAACCAGAAGGAGGTGACGTGGGAGGAGGTGCGGACCAAGCTGCTGGACAAGGGGCTCGTGCAGGAGTTCTCGGTCCAGGGCCCCCTCGTGCGCGTGATGCTGCACCCCGACGCGCAGCCCCTCAACGGCGCGCCGCCGGGCACGCAGTACGTCTTCACCATCGGCTCCGTGGAGCTGTTTGCCAAGAACCTGGAGCAGGCGCAGGCCGAGCTCGGCATCCCGCCGGACCAGCGGATCCCGGTGCGGTACGACTCGGGCGGCACGACGCTGGGCAGCCTGTTCCTGGCGTTCGGGCCGACGATCCTGTTCATCGGACTGATCCTGTGGACGCAGCGGTCGATGGGCGGCGGGCGCGCGGGCGGGGGCGGCGGCGTCTTCAACTTTGGCAAGAGCAAGGCCAAGAAGTTCAACGCCGAGAGCGCGGTCAAGGTCAAGTTCTCGGACGTGGCCGGCCTGGAGGAGGCCAAGGTGGAGATTATGGAGTTTGTCAGCTTCCTCAAGCACCCTCAGAAGTTTGAGAAGCTGGGGGCCAAGATCCCGCGGGGCGCCATCCTGGCCGGGCCGCCGGGGACGGGGAAGACGCTGCTGGCCAAGGCCACGGCGGGCGAGTCGGGCGTGCCCTTCTTCAGCGTCAGCGGGTCCGAGTTCGTCGAGATGTTCGTCGGCGTGGGGCCGTCGCGCGTGCGTGACCTCTTCGCCGAGGGCCGCAAGAACGCGCCGTGCATCATCTTCATCGACGAGATCGACGCCATCGGGCGGGCACGCCAGGAGAGCGGCAAGGGCTTCGGCGGCAACGACGAGCGCGAGGCCACGCTGAACCAGATCCTGACCGAGATGGACGGCTTCAACACGCGCGAGCAGGTCGTCGTCCTGGCCGGCACCAACCGCGCGGACGTGCTCGACAAGGCCCTCATGCGGCCCGGCCGGTTCGACCGGCACATCTACATCGACCGCCCCACCATGAAGGGCCGCAAGGAGATCTTCTCGGTCTACCTCAAGAAGATTGTCACCAACGAGGACCAGGAGCACCTGATCGGTCGTCTGGCCACGCTCACGCCCGGCTTCTCGGGTGCCGACATCTCGAACGTGGTCAACGAAGCAGCTCTTACTGGTGAGTGTCCCCCCTTTCCTCTTCTGGGGGGTTTTTTCTTCCTTTCCCCCCCCCACCCCCCCCCTTGATATGTCACCCCTCCCCCCCCCCCCCCCCCCCCCCCCTTTTTTCTCTTCTTCTTCTTCTTCTTATCATCATCCCTGGACTGCGGCAGGGAGAGAGAGGGAAGAAGGGAAGAAGACAAGGCTGGAGGTGCTTGGATCTCGGATGATGCATGCTAACATCAGGTTGAACAGCGGCTCGTGCCAATGCGGATGACGTGAAGATGATACACTTTGAGCAGGCCATCGAGCGGGTGATTGGCGGACTGGAGCGCAAGTCGCTGGTGCTCAAGCCGGAGGAGAAGAAGACGGTGGCGTACCACGAGGCCGGGCACGCCATCTGCGGGTGGTTCCTGGAGCACGCGGACCCGCTGCTCAAGGTGTCCATCATCCCGCGCGGGCAGGGCGCTCTGGGGTACGCCCAGTACCTCCCCCAGGACGCGTACCTGATGAACACGAACCAGCTGATGGACCGGATGGCCATGACGATGGGCGGGCGGGTGTCGGAGGAGCTCCACTTCCCGACGGTGACGACGGGGGCGAGCGACGACTTCCGCAAGGTGTCGGCGATGGCGCGCAACATGGTGACGGAGTGGGGCATGTCGCAGAAGGTGGGGCCGGTTCACTACGAGAACGACCCGAACCGCATGGTCAAGCCGTTCGCCGAGTCGACGGCGCAGCAGATCGACCAGGAGGTGCAGCGCATCGTCGAGGAGGCCTACCAGCGCTGCAAGGACCTGCTCGTGGCCAAGCGGGAGCAGGTCGGGCTCATAGCCGAGGAGCTCCTGCGCAAGGAGGTGCTCGTGCGGGACGACATGGTGCGCATCCTAGGCAAGAGGCCATTCGAGGATAACAACGCCGAGTTTGAAAAGTACTTTTCCGGCGGCAAGGATCAGGCCGAGGGCTCGTCGGGTTCGACACCGCCTCCTCCTCCCCCTCCTCCGGTCGAGGGTACGACCTCTACGGATGAGCCTACACCTTCTCCAGCTTTCAAGGAGATGGAGAAGAGGTGATGTCTCCTTCTTCTGTCCATATATACATATATATGTATATGTATATGTATATATATGTATATATATATATATTGCTCTCTCTTCTTCCTCTTCTCCTCGTTCCTGCTACACATATTACTACCTTTTACTTTTTCTCTTCCCTCGGCTCACAAAGGAAAGAAAAAAATCTCTACTCATTTTCAACAAAAAAAAAACCAAATCAAAAAAAAAAGGATTAATCATATAAACACAGGATGTTAGACAAAAAAAAAGGGGGAACAGAAAAAAAACCAGATGATGATGGGAAAGAGATGGGAAAATATATACGAGGGAGAAAGGGTAGAGAAGGAGAAGAGGAGGAGGAAGGAGAAGAAGAGGAGGAAGGAGAAGAAGAGGAAGAAGAAAAAAGAGGAAAATGGGTTGAGATGGAAAGGAAAGGGATGTATGTACTGTATTGTTTTTGTACCATAGTTTATCTGTACTCTTTTTCTGACGTGTGTATATATATATATATATATATATATACTGAGCTGTAGACGGCCATGATAGAATAGTATATCAGTTGTTGAATGAATGCCATTTCAAAAAAAAAAATATTAAAAAATATTAAAAAAAAAGTGGTCTTTTATCATGTCAAGGTGTACAGAGTAGGAATCATCGATGGATGGTGGCCCTTGATGAGGTGAGGGAACGGTTTGCTGCTGGCTGGGGGTAGAATTGTCGGTGGTCGGCGGTGAAGAGTGATTGGTTGTAAAAGTTCCTCGCCAAGAAGGTACATGTATGTGCATATTCATCTATGGAGTACGGATTAGACCGTCACGTCATGGCGAGGATAGTTGGATGAAGAATGGGCTTGACGGGTGTGTATATTGTTCTTTGCGTCGTAGAAGGGTGCTGCATATGTGCTCGTGGCAGAGAGAAGGAAAGAGGTGATGGAGAAATAAGGATGAATGTGTGAGACTGAGAGAGAGAGAGAGAGAGAGAGAGAGAGAGAGAGAGAGAGAGAGAGAGATGATGATGATGATGTAGATTACCCTAATCTGTACAGGTAAGAGGAACATTATACTCGTGTACTATCATACATGATGGTCATATATGCTAGTATTTGATATATATATATATATATGCTTGTATCTGATATGTATGCTTGTATCTGATAGTCATAGTAAATACAATATATATAATAAATGAGCAAAATGTAAAATATGGAATATATTTTTGAAAAAAAAAAAATTGTCTGGAAAGATTCCCCACATGACGCTAATCCCATTGTGGATGTGTCGATAACCCCATTACTCTCTACTCAACCCATCCATTACCCTCTCTCTCTCTCTCTCTCTTTCTTCTTCTTTCTCTTTCTCTCTTTATATATATATATATACATATATACATATATATCTATCTATATATCTCCTAATTAACCAGCTGCTCCTTCATGTTCACCCATCCTCTCTACGCCTTTTTCACCAAATCATACCGACTTAACCTATACTTCTGCTCTTTTTTTTTCCCTTCTTTCTTATTTCTTTTCTTTCCATCTTCCATCTTCTTCCACCTGTCACATCACTCATCCGTCGAGAGACAGGATAGAAGAGTTGATAAGAAGAAAATATAAAGAGAGAAAGAGAGAGAGAGAGAGAGCCAGAGAGAGAGAGCTAGAGAGAGAGAGAGAGAGGGAAGGAAAGAAGATTAGAGAGGGAGAAGAAACAGAAGAAGAAAAGAGAAAAGAAGGAGAAGAGAAAAAAAAAAGAACAAGATGACGGTCGTAGAGGAGAACCCCAGATCACGAGACCCGGAACGTCAGAGCTCTGCAGAGGAGAGGATGGGATCACGGGGAAAAGAGAAATGGTGGGTGATTCATCCCTTTCGTGGTATGGTCAACGATATTAGGAGGAGAGCACCGTTTTATATCAGCGATTGGCGTGATGCTTGGGATTACCGAGTCATCCCGGCCACGATATACATGTATTTTGCCAAGTAAGTCTTTCTTTTCATATTTCTCTTGCACATATATATATGCATCCTCGCCCATGATCTCTCTCTCTCTCTCTCTCTCTCTCCCTTTCTCCCTCCCTCTTCTCCTTCTTCTCACCACCCATCATCATCATCTATACATGCTCTCCTGAACTCGGCCCCGTCCTGACATGATCCGATAGCATCCTACCTGCTCTCGCCTTCTCCCTAGACATGTTCTCCCGGATCGAGAATCAATACGGCGTCAACGAGGTCCTGCTCGCATCCGTCCTCGGCTCCGTCGTCTTCTCCCTTCTCGCCGCCCAGCCTCTCGTCATCGTCGGCGTCACGGGTCCCATCACGGTCTTTAACTAGTCTGCCTCTCCCCTCCCCCTCCTCACCCTCCGCCCCCCCACCGTCCCCTTCTTTCTGTGCTTGATCTCTCATCTCTGACACGCCGTCCTCTCCCCCTCCTGCAGTACCGTATACGACATCATAGCTCCCGCTGGGATCGATTATATCCGCTTCATGGCTTGGATAGGGATGTAAGTCGGGGACGTGCACAGCAACTCTACCCCTCTCCCTCTCCCTCTCCCTGACGTCTCCTCCCCCAACACTCTGATAATGACGATGATAGATGGTCCCTCGTCCTCCACTGGATCCTGGCCGTGACCAACTCGTGCAACTGGCTCCGCTGGGTGACCCGCTTCCCGTGCGACATCTTTGGCTGCTACGTCGCCCTGATCTACCTGCAGAAGGGCGTCCAGGTGCTCGCCCGCCTGGGTGACGGCGAGTCCTTCTACCTGTCCACCATGGTGAGCCTGCTCGTCCTCATCTTCGGCTACGTCGCCGGCGTCGTCGGCGTCAGCTCCCTCTTCCGCCACTGGATCCGCGTCTTCGTCAAGGATTACGGCACCCCGCTCACCATCGTCTTCTTCACCGGATTCGTCCACATCGGACGCATGGCCGACGTCGACGTCGACGCCCTGCCAACCAGCGTCGCCTTCATGCCCACCAGCCCTGATCGCTCCTGGCTAGTCGACTTCTGGAATCTGCCCGTCCGTGACGTCTTCATGGCTCTGCCCTTTGCTATACTCTTGACTATACTCTTTTGGTTTGATCACAATGGTGTGTCTTCTTCTTCTTCTTCTTCTCTTACCCCCCTTTGTTACACTTAACCCCTCCTCCCCCTCCTTCTCTCTCTTTCTCCATGACTCTCCTTTCCTCTGACACGAGAGAGCAGTCTCGTCCCTCATCGCCCAGGGCAGCGAATTCCCACTCCGCAAACCCGCCGGATTCCACTGGGACCTATTCCTCCTCGGCACGACCACCTTCGTGGCGGGGATACTGGGCCTCCCCTTCCCCAACGGTCTGATCCCCCAGGCTCCCTTCCACACCTCCAGCCTCTGCGTGACCCGTCCGGTCAAGGTCGTCGACGGCAACGGTCGCGAGACCGGCGCCTACCGCTCCGAGACGACCCACGTCGTCGAGCAGCGACTGTCCAACCTGGCCCAGGGCCTCCTCACCCTCGGCACCATGACCGGCCCCCTCCTCTCGGTCCTGCACCTCATCCCCCACGCCGTCCTGGCCGGCCTCTTCTTCGTCATGGGCATCCAGGCCCTCGAGGGCAACGGCGTGACCGCAAAGGTCGCCTTCCTCGTCCGGGACGCCCACCTCACCCCCGACTCCGAGCCCCTCCGCGCCGTGCGCCGCAGGTCCGCCGTCTGGCTCTTCGTCGCCATCCAGCTGTTCGGCATCGCCGCCACATTCGCCATCACCCAGACCATCGCCGCCGTCGGCTTCCCCGTCTTCATCATCGCCCTCATACCTATCCGCGCCGTCGTCCTGCCGCGATTCCTCCGTCAGGACGAGCTCGCCATCCTGGACGGCCCTACCGCCTCGCCCTTCACCATGGACGGTATAGGTGGTGTCTGGGGGGCCGGTCCCGAGCATCGCAGTACCGAACCCCCCGATCCTGCGTCGCGCCAGGATAAGCAGCATACGCAGTAGCGACATCATTATCCCGTCGAATCCCATTCCCGTCTACATTCCACATCTTTTTATTTTTATTTTTTTATTACTTCTTCTTCTTCATTGCATTTCACTTCATCGCATCTTCACCTTTATTCTATCGGAATTCCACATCTATCCATCACACCTTCTCCTTCATCATCATCTTCTTCTTGCCATTGTCCCTCACCATAATGTCTAAACTACACATGATCCATGATGCTCTCGTTATTATACCAACACACATATCAATAGATAAATAAATGAAAGTACCATTATAAACATATAAACACCAAACTCATCATTCATCATCGCTATCCATCACAAACCCACCCCTGACCCTAGGTCGTCTCGCCAAAACAGGCCCCTCGTCCTCCCCATCATCATCGTCCCCTTCTTCAGCCCTGTCTTTCTCTGCAGGCACCGTCATATCCACATCAGATTGTTCCTCCTCCTCCTCCTCCTCTTCCTCAACACTGACACGTCTCCTCTTTCGAACACCACCGTCGTCGTCGTCGTCGGTATCCGCGCTACTCAGAACAGCCTGGTTTGCAAGGACCAGATCATCATCATCACCATCGTCGTCGTCGTCGTCGTCGTCGTCGTCGTCGCTATCGACAATCTTATTGACCTTGGTCTTGGACGACGAGGGAAGGACAGGAGTGACGGTGGTACCGGTGGCCGACTTAGCAGCCATCTCGGCGCGGCTGGCGATCTCCCTCTCCCTGGCGAAGAAGGCCTCGTCCTCGTCCGAGTCGAAGTCGTCGTCTCCCTCCCTGACGTACAGCGCCGACTTGACCTTGCGGGCCTTTTCGCGCTCGCGCTCCAGCCTCTTGCGACGTCTCTCCTCCGCTGCGGCTTCGGTCTCGCCTTCGTCACCGTCGTCGTCGCGCTTGCGCCGCCTCCTGGCCGCCGTCTTCTTCTTGGCGGGCGCATCGATGGCTCTGCGTGCTGTCGGTCCGCCGGCGGGGAAGAGGGCTCCGTCGTCTAGGAAGTCGTCTAGGTCGATGCCGTGGGCGCTGTCACCGTCGTCGCCGTCGTCGTCAAAGGCCGCCTTCTTGCGCGGCGGGCGAGGTGCCGTCTTCCGACGGAGCTGGCTGTCTGCGGCTTTGCCGTCGTCGAAGGACGGCGGGTTGAATTCTGCCTGGCTGATGAAGTGCTGCGTATCCTTCAAGTGGTCGGCTGATATGTCGCCGGGGATGGTCCAGGGCGTCTCCCGTGTCTCTTCGGACGCGTGGCCCTGGCGTCGCATGCCCGACAGGGTCATGAGGAGGCGGAGGTGGGGGTTCCTGAACACGGCCGTCTGTCTGGCGTCGTCTTCACCGCGGACGGTGATGGCCGGGGGCATCTCTGGCTCCTTGGCTGCGTCGTCTTCGTCGTCGAACGCAGCCTCCTCTAGTTGACGAGCCCGCTCGGCATCCTCCCAGGACCTCCGCTCCACCTCCGCATCGCTCAGCACTTTCTTGACCCACTGGATCTCGTCGGCCTGCCTCTTGTCGAGCAGGGCACCGACGACGATGGCCACCTGCCTGTCCCGCTCCTCGGTGTGCTTGAACTCGAGCTCGACCGCCGGTCTGGCCTGCGCTTTCCCGCCCGACACCGTCTGCTTCTCGTAGCCGTACTCGAGGAAGTAGGCCGTGCTCTGGAGCTTGCTGAAGAGCATCTCGACGAGGAGCTCGGGCCTCTCCTCAATCTTGCGCGTGCACTTGCGCAGGATCTGCTTGACCAGCTCCTCCCACTCGCGAAAGGCGCTGCTCCCCATGGCCGATCTGTCCAGGGGTTCGGGTCCCTTGATCATCTTGTGTAGCAGGTGGATGATGTCGACGCGGAACAGCATGACGCTCATGTCCTGCTTGAAGGCGAGGCGGTAGAAGAAGCGGTGCGCCCGCTTGAGCTGCGGCTCGCTCAGGTCGCGGTAGTACTTTGCGTAGGTGACGAATGTGTCCACCACGCCCTGCGAGGTGAAGCGCATCGAGAAGCGGTGGAAGTCGAACTTGCGTTCCTTGGACGCCTTCTCGGCTGCTGCTGTATCGTCTTCCCCCGAGCCGTCGTCGTCGTCCTCCTCGGCGCCGCCGTCGTCGTCGCCGTCACCTGCCTCCCCGTCAGCCTTCTTCTTGCCGGCTGCCTTCTTCTTTCTGCGCGTCCGTTTGCGCGACCGCACCTGCATGTCGACATTCTGCTTCGAGTACGCCTCCAGGATGCGCAGGAAGTGGTGCAGCAGCTCGGTGGCGGCGTCGAGGTAGTCGAAGCCTTGGTCCTTGTAGGTCCTGATGATGTTGGCGAGCATGTCGTGCGTCGTCTCCTCGTAGAACAGGCGGCTGAGGGTGTTCTCGGCAATCTCCTCGTCGTCCTCGTTGCCGCACTGCATCATCTCCTGGACCGTCAGGAGGATCTGCGTGAAGCAACGCATGACGGCCGCGAGCTCGTGCCAGTCCTTGTACTCGTACGACTCGTGCATGGCCTTGTTGAGCGTGATGAACATTTCCTGGTTCAGCACGCCGGCTACGAGGTTGAAGCTCGTCACCTCCTCGCTCCCCTCGGCGCCGCCGGCCGGTCTCGATTCCTTCTTGGACTTGCGCCTCATGCGCTCCGCCTCGAGGAACCAGGCCACCAGGTAGAAGAACTGGCGACGGTGGTACTGCATCAGGTAGGATGCCTCGCGGTCAATCGACTTGCGCACGTGGGAGAAGAGCGGGTTGAAGCCGGCGTCGAGGAGGTCCTCGACAAAGGAGCGGAGCTGCTGGTTGGCCCTCGAGTCGAGCTTGGGGGCGGGGCCCATCTCGCGATCCAGCTTGTCCTCCTTCTTGCCGCGGCGAGGGGGCTTGAAGGTCTTTGTGCTGTCCATCTTGCGCTGCCTGGTTGCCGAGTCGGAGATGGCGTCCTGGCCGGTCAGGGTGGTCATCCGTCCGTCTTCTCGCTTCATCCAGATCATGGTGCCGAAGCGGTTATGGCGCGAGGGTCGGCTGTGCGACTTGAGCATGGCCTCCTCCTTCTTCATGAGGGTGGACAGCTCGTCGGCCTTGGCCCTGTGCAGCTGCTGCTCGTCCATGAACATCTGTTCAATGTCGACGCGCTTGACGAGGTGGTAGATGATCTCCATGACGGTGGCATCCTCGTTGCGGAACTCGTCGCCCATGTTGGAGGCCAGGGTGAGGAGCAGGTGGAATATGTCCTGGTAGGAGAAGGCGTCGATGGTGGCGGACCGGGAGACCTGGGTCTCGTCACCGTCGTACTTGACGCCGGGAGGGGGCGAGATGGAGGCGACGTTGCGCAGGAAGAAGAGCACCAGCTTGATGACGCCCTGGTCGCGCTGGGTGCGGTCGCCGATGGGCAGGGCCATGGAAGGGAGGGCGACGCGCACGGCCGTGTGCAGCACGCGCGCGCTGTCGTAGTTGATGATGGCCTGCTTGTAGGCCACCTGAGCCAGCTCCAGCACGGGCATGTGGCGGTGGTGGTTGACCGTCATGCGCTCCCTGTCCCTCTCCATAGGCCACGTCAGGGGCACCATGACTTCGTAGCAGGCCAGGGCGAGGCGGGACTTGAACTTGCTGTCCATGTCGTTCTCCGGCCACGTCGCCAGGATGGGCAGCAGGTCTCCCCCGATGAGGTTGGCCTCGTAGATGCATCGGGCTACGTCCATCCGGTTCGTCTTTTCGTCGTAGAAGCGGATCCATCGCTTGATGTCGCGGAGCACCTCGAGTGCGTCGTCTCCCAGTTGGTATCGGCCATCGTCGTCGGCACTCACACCACCCAGCTAGTTAGAAGAAAAAAAGATATCAGGTCAGCCATGACTTCTCTTCCCCTCCCCCCCTCTCGCCTTCTTCTTTCCAACGCGGCTTCTCTCTGCTGCCTTTGGCTGCTGCTACTCACCGCTGAGACGAGACTGTTGATGTAAGCGCGAACTTCAGGATGGACAATGTCCACGGAGGGTCCTGACACTTCCATCCCGACGGGCCCAGCGTGCTCTGCAGCTGTGTCGATGGTTGCTCCTGTGTGGTGGGGACTGGCCTTTGATCCGTTCACATGCTTGGGAAGGCCAGCAAGCGAAAGTCAAGGTGCCTACGTCTGCGTGGGGACCGAAATGTCGTAGTGGGAGGGTGACGCGTCAAGACGCGTCTATAGAGGTTCAGAGACGTGTTAATGGGCGCGACCGATAACGACAGGCTCGCTTTCTTATCGATTGCTTATCTCGGTCGTCCCCCTCCCACGTCCCACAGAAAGCCGAGGTCAGCCGGTCGTAGCCTGTGATCTCATTGTCTCCGATCTGGCCATCTACTGCTCCTCCTCCTCCTTCTTCTTCTTATGCTGCTACGACAACGTCTCACGTCTTTGCTGTCCGTCTATTCTCTACTACAAGGTACGCCAGCGGACGAGAAAAAGTCGTATAATGGTGAGATCAATTCTTCGAATGCGCACGCTAGGCGCCGCACGACAATCCCGTGCCTTTAGCTCGTCCCCTCGACAGTACGCCGCCGAGGTCAAGAGTTTGGGTGTCATTGGAGCCGGTCAGATGGTAAGGTGCCAGAGCTTCCTTTCCGTTCACAATCCGTCCCC